GAAAAATTTATTTTCCATTTTCGAAAGACCGATATGTGTTAATGATAGGGTATGATGAACAATAGACAGAAACTTTTTCACTTAAAAAAGTATTTATCGCAAAACACATGCATTTTTCTATCCTTAGGAATCGAAAAATTGGTCTATTTTAGGCATTGATTGACCGGTTGGATTGTGACATACTTTAATTCAGAAGGCAATGAAGTGGTAGAATTATAGAGCTTCGTGACACACAGTTTCAGAGACATTTGCACGGTTATTCGCCTTTACCATTAGAAGCCGTATCGAAGAATTTAAAACATTATAAAAGTCAAAAATTACAGAAGCTAATAATAAAACTAAATCTATTGTGAGCATTATTAGATATACACAATTGAAGACTAGATAAAACTCTATTGAAGTAACTTCTTTAAACAAAATTTGATATAGGTTTGCTTATAGACATATTAATTCCTAACATTTGGTTATATCACCCATAATTGCTATAATACCCTTTAACTGATATATGACTTGTAAGAACATTCGAATCTGATGAAACTATATGCGCTACGAGTTGCTCTACAGAACACAGTATAGATGACTTTTCCAATAAAGGATGGTCATCTTATCCAAAAGAGTCTTTAAAAAAAACTATCCTTTAATTGCATCATACATCATCTGAATATCACCGAAGAAACTGTAAGTTGGATAAACAAATGCAGCTGGTTTATTTTGTTCAAAACCAAAATGTCCAATCCAAGAGAAACCATAACCCAATAAAAGTGGAATAAATGCTTTAGTAAATGAATGTGTTAGAAGTTTACCACCAGTAAAATAAATTATTAGAAATAAAATTACTTCTGGTAAGCCAGTTGATAAATGACGAACAAATGGAATTATTGAATAAGCAGCTAAACCACCTGCTATCATTGGTATTAAAAGAGTAGGTTTTGTTAAAATATAAAGAAGAAAAAGAGTTGTACCAATATAATGAAATTGACGAGTCGTTTTTTGAGTATGTGCACGTAGATAATGTGGATAAAATTCTTCGAATGTTTCATATGGTTTTGTTGACGAAATATTTTTCGATATATAATCATTTAATGGTGGAATATTACGTATTTGTATAGTAATACTTGAAAGTATAATTACTAAAGTACAAAATAAACCGCCATAAATTGATGCAGTACGTTTTCGATCGACAGATATAACTGATTTAACCATTTTTGAAATCTAAAATAAATCTTCCAAATTATATTCTTAACGTTTATAAAGTGTTCCTTAACAGTTGTTTTCAACAATAACAAAATTATAAAATTCAATTAATGTTCAATGAATCATTGTTTTTTTTTCCAAACAAAATGAATTTAATATTTTTGCCAATTTATTTCAAAGATGTTTGTAAGACTAAAAATCTTCTCGAACATTCTTAGTACAATATAAAAATGTAAGATTGTATCAATTTCTTATCTTTCATATCATGTGCAATAGGTCAAAGTACATTTTAGTAAAAAGAAAGTTGAATCATTCTCTGCATATTATATAAATGTTACACAATAAATTCATCTCATTGAGAACTTTGCCCCTAACAGATTTTTCACGTGACCTGAGTGAGGACGAATAATTCAGTAAAATTTTCGATATCTCAAGAACGAAGAACTAGGAAAACTAAACCATTTTAGACTTTTCTATTAGTCATTAAATAAACATCACTTCAGTCGAAAAGCGGTTTGATACCCGGAGAGATTCCTTCGTCAATTTTTATTGCTCTATCCAAAACTACCATTCGATTTTATTGAATCCAAAAAAACGAGGTTCGGAATTCTTCGAAATTTATGAGTTTTAAGAGAAAATCTCAACAGTTTCGTAATGTAATTTAGGTATTGAGAGATATCAAACTATAGTATCCAAAGTTGATCACTGACAGAAAGTTGTAGTTCTGAATATTGGGCATATTTTGTCTTTGGGTATGGATGTGTCGATTCCAGCCAATTCCTGAAGGTCCAATTCAAAAATAACACATCTATAATATTAAGAACTGACAGACTCATATCAATCGTGTTCAATATTGAATACGGTGTCCGATGCTATAGTTTGATTTCTTTAAATAGTTAAAATAGATTATGGAATTGATCGAAGATTTTCTCTTAAAAATTCATAAACTTCGGATAGCATAAGCAAAATTGAGTGGACAATGAATTCTTTGAAACTATGCTCTATGAATCGGTCTATTCCTATTCTTAATGTTGCATATTAAAAAAACCCATGAAACTATCAATATTTGTCATTAATCATAAAAAACCTATTCAAAAGTAGTTTCTATAAGACCATTTTTCTCTTGATCATCATGTGTTCAATTTAATAACATCTTGAATGATAAAATTATAGTTTTAAATTTGATATAAATCGTTTATGACTGTAATTTTCTAATTCTGTTGACTCTAAATTAAATTACATAAGAAATCAATAACAGATTTTAGTGATGCTTGTAGTGCATTCAAACTATTAATATATATCAACAAGAAATAATAAAACTCATCTCATAGAGAACTTTGTCAAATGATTAAAGTGTATTATCTAAACTAAGTGATATACAGTAGTTCATCAACAAAATCATGATTATCTAATGAATAGCTCATGTGAAATAAAATAAAACAATGTACGGAAACATCCAGATACTCTCCAGAGATAAATTAAATATTTTTTTGAAAAAAATAACAATTCTCTTGAAAGATTGATGTTTGAAACTAAAGAGCATTTAATAATTTTAATCAACAGGTATTACGTTAATATTTTATAGTTATATGAAAAATAAGTATAAGATAAATCTTGTAGTAATAGAGAAAAAATTTTGTTTTGTTTTATTTTTCTTATTTAAAAAGAAACTCATGTCGTCAAAATCGATTCAGTTTTGATGGTTATTCGGTGATTTAGCAACAAACTTGAGCAGTATGTGTTTATTTATGACACAATATTTTTTTTATTTAGAGCGATCTCAAGATCTACGTGAATAGTAAGTATCATTATATAAAAGAAAGCAATTGTTTTTTATTATTTATAGGACATGGAAGAGAACAATATGATTTCTCTTTTTATTCATGAGAAATTTTCATTGGCACAATGATAAAAGGTGGTAATAGTCCTAGATCCGACCATCATGAATGTCGCATACAAAACCACGATTTTTCGTAAAAATTCGGGAAAAATCGCTTCTTTTTTAGTAATTTTAATCACCCTGACATGAAATCATCGATTTGAAGCACTTGGAAATATATCGAATATATTTAGATATTTTCTGATGTTGATTAACGATTATCATCAGTGTGTTGTTGAAACATAATATACCAATCATCTAAATAAAACCATCGTTTAACTCCATTTTCTTGTAATAAAACTCAAGTCTAAACATACTACTAGAATTGAATGAACATATATTGATTTTTTTCCATATTTAAAATCGATACATACATGGAATAGTATTCATTTTAATCAAAGTAAACAAATAATGTAGTCTTTACAAATGATCTTTCTCGTCTTTATCATGTAATTTCTCAATGATACACTTTTCTATGTGATATATCGACAATACGAAGAATCTTATGAGACTGTTCATATTATTTCTACATTTTCAAACACAAGTTCCGTCAATAAAATTTTCTATAATAATATTGATTTATTATTTTTTATACAATCAATCATGTAATCATTTTCATCCTCATCGATCTCAATATCTAAACAATTTCGAATATTGACAAGATATATTTTTTTATATAACTAATCAATATTGAAATAATTTGTAAATTATTTATTCAAGAATAAATAAAACGTGTCCAAATTGTAATTATCGTTTCACGCAAAAAACCTGCATGACTATTCTTTATTTATTTAGCTTTGATTCTGAAGCAAAAAGAATAAAAGTAACTATTCCGAGAAAAAGAAACATATTTTATCTCAAGTGACTACTCTTCAGAAGTAATCTGAAATGTTAATGAGTATATAGTTTTAATATGCTGAACATTCATTTTAGCGAATAAACAAACTATTTTCTCATGATTGCTTTTGACAATAAATGCTTGTTAATGGTTTTTTTACCTTACAACTTTCTATAATATAGTTCATGATTCAAAACTAATTGGACTTTATTTTAATGAAAATGTCACAAGTTTTGTAGTAATTAATCAGTCGTATATGTTTGCACCTACATCAACACTTTCTTTTATTTCCGATAGTGGAGTTGTTCACCGTTCACACTGTTGAAACAATTCCTGGAGAATGGCTGTTCTGTGCTTATGTTTGTTTTCGATATGTTCACCGAGCGGCCAGGTCTTTACCATACCCGCTATTAAACTCTGTTTCTAGAGTATTGCTTTTGAAGAAAAAACGCATATCAAACTCTGAAAAACAAAAAAAAAGAATTTAGTGGTTCACAGACTCGTTGTTTATGAAATATTGTCTGCTTTATTATCAGATCGTAATACTCATTTGTTGAATTTATAAAATCAAATCATAATCAATGTTGATTAAAAATTATTCTGATAGAAAATTGCACCTAAATCAAAACTTATGTAAATTTAATTACAAAATAGTTTAAAATTGAAACAAATGTTTTTTTAAAGAAATATTATACCGTTATAACTATAAGAAAAAAAATTGATGAATAAAACTTCTCTAGGTACTGTTAGGCGTGTTAACCAAAAAAGTTTTCTGAAGATCATCGCTATTTTAAAAAAACTACGATCGCTTTCCGTTCCGCCCTTAGTCACACTTTTTAGGCACGATACACATCTCTGGCGGATTTTACTTTCCAATACTTTGAAGCATTTTTATGGGTAGATATAAAACATGTTATACCTCATACACTAGAGATTTTCAATGCTAGAATGAATTATTCGATTCTAAAATGTTAACTATGGTAATCTATTTAGACTAGATAAATCAATATTTTTTTTCTACAGATTTTATTCAATATATGCAAGTATAATTCTATTTACATCGATACAGAAAAAAAAAAATTTGTTCATTTAAGTCCATGTTCTCATTAATTTTTCAATCATTAATTGTTGTATAAATGTATCCAATTGTCTATGATATTGACTTTTATCAAGTTTATGACATATAGCATTACGTCGAAAACATTTTCCACGTTCACAATTTTCAAATAAATTTGATTGTTCATTTGTTTCATTAATAATAGAATTTATTGTATGTGTTGAATCATTGTTATCATCTTTTTCTTCAATTGAAATATCATCAAGACCAGATAAAGTGTTTACAAGACAAGATGGAATTGAATCATAGAGTTTTTCAAAATCTGGCCATTCAAAATCATTATATGAATCATCAGTTGATGATGAAAATGATTGATAATTATTAAAACGTGTTGATGAACCTCTACTCATATCTTCACTACGTGTACGATATTCTTTGTTTATACTAAAACGACGTATAAATCGTGTACATAAATGTTTTAATGAACTATTATTCTTATTAGTATTGGTATTTGATTGTAATTGAATTTTTTCTTCATTATATGATAAAGTTCGAGTAGATTTCATTAATTGATTTGTTGTTGATTGTTGAAAATAACGTCCATAATTATCTGATGGATAACTACCAACAGTTTTATTGTTTATTTCTTTACCATTAATATTATTTGAATTTTGATCAAATAAATCTATGTTCTGAATGTCACGTGGTAATGTTATCGATGACATTAGTATAGTTTTGCTTACATACAAGTATATTTTTTAATCAAAGAGAAACATATATTACACACTGCATTTGAAGTTCTTTCTACATCTATATCTATATATTTATATAGACGATGCACTTATATAAAAGAAATTTCTCACGATGCAATTAATAGAACTAAAAGAAGTGGAGTTGTATGTGACTAAGATATTTCTTTTTTTTTATAATAGATTAAAGAAGAGAATTGTTCGTATTTGTTTTAATTGCAATATATATTCATCATAAATCTTTTTTGTTTTTGTCCAATGATGGAAAAGATTTTAGGACTATATGCTGTTTCTTTTTTTATCACAGCTCATTATGCCTAATGATAACAATATTCAGTGCATCAAAGCGGAAACATTCGTTTCATATCGTTCTAATGAGATACGATAAAAATAAGAAATAAAAATAATGAACGACATAAAGTAAAATAGAGAATATTTAATAAGTACAAATAAAAAGGAAACAAATAGCGCAGATATTATTTGATAATGTCGTACTTTTTTTTATAATATTAGAAGGTATATTTTATCTATGAATATAGTTAATATTCTATGAAAGAAAAGCTATATCCAATATATGCATTCATTGCTATTAGAATTCATATATCATTGAAGAAAATTTAAATTTAAATAAACAAATTTGTTGAATCAGATTTTAATAGATAGTTCATTTCCGATTGTAATTACAATCGATTTACCATATATTCATATATTTTTATATTTTACAAAATGAACTGTCAAACAAATACACAGCACAAAACAAAAAACAATTATGTCTTTTGTTTTTTCCAAAGTGGTACAATATCATCATCATCATCATCATCTTCTTTTTTCTGATTTGTATCTTGAGTAGATGATTGAAAAATGGCTTGTGGTTGAGTTTTTGAATAAGCTGGCGCTACCCAGTATGGTTCTTGTTCACATTTTTCTTGATAACTAAGTAAAATAGCACGAGAATCTTCTTTTTGAGCTGGTGGTTTTTGTAAAGCAATATTCTTAACAATATATGATGATAATGTACCACCATGTACACCAATACGACCACCAGAACCAGCACCACTCACAGGTAAATCTGGTCGTTTTGATTTCACCTAAACAAAACAAATTTATTTTACATATACATTTAGATTATTAGATATTTCATATTAATTATCAATTGTTATAAGTATCACAATACTGTGAAAGTTTGATACAATTTCCAAAGTTTTTTATATCAGTTTTTATTCCGTTTAGAAATTCTCATCTAGTCCTTATTTGAAACAAGAAGAATACTTTATTCTTGTGATATGAAATATTACCTAGCTGAAAATTTAATAGTCCGATATTTTCTCTACAACTAATACTAGTTATAGCTCTGAATAGAAGGCTGGTCTGACGCAGAATCCTTGCACTCTCCATACATACTAATTAATTGCAAGAATAGATGTATGTGTCCCAGAGGAACAAACTGATTTCAATAGTTGAAATCATGAGAAATTACACGTAGGGATGTAACAATACAATACAACATAATAATGAGGTATTGTTATTGCGTAGGGATGTACAGCTTACCCTTTACTTTATTCCAATATGAATGCAACAAGAGGTTGCTAAGGTCATATGAAAGGGGACTCTGGATAACCCCATGATCGGTCCAAACAACAATATGTTTAGTCTTTATAATAGAGAAAAAGCTTTGCTGAAATCTGATTGATTGATAGGCTTTTGGTATTGACCGATCAGATTTTAGTAGCGGTTTTTTCTTTTCTCGGCAGGACAAAACATATTGTTGTTCGGGTCGATTATAGAGTGATCCGGGACCCTCTTTCATATGGCCCTAACAACTCCTTGATGCATTCATATTGGAGTAAAGAAAAGCATGAGCTGTACATCCCTAAGTAATACCAATACTCCATTACGATATTGTATTGGTACATCTCTATCAGACGAAAGCCAAGGAAATCAGTTTGTTCCCCCTTGTATATGTCACAACGCTATCAGACAAATGGTTCGAGATAAATAGTTGTTAGTGACGTTCCCTGACTGGCGGTATCGAGGTTTGCACACAGCAGCAGACAGATATGTGTCGAACCAGAAATGAAATCGGTATCGGTGACCAGTATATCGACTGGCTCGGTCTGATCTGACCTATTCAGATGTGTACCGATCATCAAAACAATAGACCGATTCCATCTTTGTGTCAAACAATTCAGTCACTCAATCATGACTATTTCTTATTTTGAGTCTATTTGTTTATCTTTGTAAAAAACAAAAGAAAGATTTACATACTGGATCTTCACGATTTTTCATTCGTATAACAGATAAATTTCTAACTCGATCTTGTCTATATAACGGTAAAGCATGTGGATTAATAATATTCATATTAATAAAAAAATCATTTGCTTTTTTTTGTCGTTCTTCACGATTAGCAAATAATAAAGCACCTTGTTTTGAACGTATTGTATCATAAAATATTTTAATAATACCATTACTTGTTGTACACATAATTTGATTAAGTTTTGGATGCCATAATGTTTTAACAACACTTGCTGCGTCACTAACTTGTATTTGTCCTTCAGGTTGTGCAAGATTATTTCGATTAAAAAAATAAATTGCACCAACATTTGTTGAATCATTTATATTATCATTTGTTTTTTTACGTGTTGATGTACCAGTAATTAGAAAACGATCGTCAGGTGAAAATGTTACATTTGTCATTGAAAATCGATTATGTAAATCATTATATTCAGAAAGTGATTTTTTAAAATTTCTTATATCCCATAATTTAAGTGTATGATCAGTTGAACGTGATGCTAAATTTCTTCCATCATATGACCAACATAATGATGTTATAGAGTTTTCTGGTTCATGTGCATGTCTTGATATAAATGTCACATTAACAAAAGGTCGACGTCGATCCCAAATTTGTATACTTCCATCATCACAACCAGCTGTTATTAAATATTCATTTTGTGTAACATGTGTATGATAAGTATTATATGTACATGTTGTTGTTGATGTTTTTTTACCTTGTTCAGATTTTGTTTTTATACATGAAGCATGTTCAGTACGACGTATTAATGACCATAAACGAACGGTACCATCATCAGAACATGTCATAAATTCCTATGAAAAAAAAATATTTGTAATTTCTTTTATTTTGAAAAATGAAAATTTTTACGTACATTTAAATCTTTTGGATTCCAACATGCACGATTTAATGTACTAACATGACCTTTAGTTTTTTGCATATCAATTAAATACATATCACCTCGAACACATTCATACATATTTTTTCCTAAAATAAATACAACAAGTTTGTCAGTACAGTTTATTTGGAACTAAAATGTAGAACACACATGTGTTCTTTAACCCCATTACACTAATACAAAATATGTAAAGTAAAAAATCTCTAGCAAACTATAATAGTATTTTTCCAAGGAAAATCAATCGCCACGGAAACGATCTGTCTTATTTATTTCTACATTTTGAAGAGAATTTTTTTTCTCTTTTTGTTGATGCTCTATTTTTTGTTTACCTTGTTGCTTTTCATTATTGTGTCCCGTTTTTCTTAATTTAACATTGTAATTCTTCTAATCATTGATTTAACTGGAAAATAAATCTATTACATTATATCTACAGCAGATCTTAACACTAGGGAGCTGCATGTCTGCATTTTTGTAGACCCGGGTCCGACAAAAAAATAAAACTTTAGACCCGGATCCGAGTCTGAAAGGACCTGCTCTAGAATGATCTAACGAGGAAACCGCCCGAATTGATTCACCGCTTTTGAGCTCATATTTTGGGCTTATAGAAGGGATTTCTATTCTAGGATAACCCTAAAAGGGTTCGGACCCATAGACCTCCTCTACAGAGTTATAGCAATTTTATTTGAATTTTAGTCTATGGCACGATATGTACAAACAAATTGACTGACGATATTTCAATCTAAAATTTTGTCTACAGATAGGTCTACTTGTAATTAGAATGTTCTGAAAATTTCAGCTGAAAAGAATGTTTCATTCGCGAGATATTAAATTTTCAAAAATCATTTAGATCCTATAAAAGATGCGAGATCCTCATATTTTATCGACATTCAATATCTCGCGAATGAAACATTCTTTTCAGCTGAAATTTTCAGGACATTCTAATTACAAATAGACCTATCGGTGAACAAAATTTCAGATTGAAACATCGTCAGTCAATTTATTTGCATATATCGTGCCATAGGCTAAAATTCAAGTCAAATTGCTATAATTCTGTAGAGAAGGTTTATAGACCCGAATCCTTGTACGATTATTCTAGTTTAGAGATCCACTCTATATACTCAAAATATGAGGTCAAAAGCGGTGAATCAATTCGAACGGTTACCTCGTAAGTCTTGTTGTTAATACTGTCCAGTGCCTTTTTTCTCGTCACTAAAAAACTCTGGAAGAAGATTTTGACGCCTGTTGCTCTCGTAAACATATCTAATGACTGCTTGACTTTTATCTCTCGTTGCTATGAGAAGGAAACAATTATTCTTAGATAAAGTTCTAATTCTTTATTTTACCATCTCGACTAATAACTTTTGCTTGACAACTACCACTTGCAATCAATAACATATCACTTCCAGGACTAAATTCAATAGAACGTAATTGATGAGATTCACATGGAGATATTGCTCGATAATATTTTAATGTTTTATCCATAGTTGGAAAATCCCACATTTTAAGTTCATAATCAAAACCACCAGATATTAAACGTTCACCATTTGAATCAATTGTTAAACATGAAACTGATTTTGTTCCATGTTTAAGATCAATTTCATGTGTTAAAGGAAAAAATGGTTGTTCATCATCATCAAGTCGATCATTGTCCTCTTCAACTGGCTAAAATTATAAAATAATTATTTTATTTAAGATGTTTATTATGATTGTATTTTGTTTATTGTAGTATGAATCAATGTGTCTAATTTCAGTAATCTATTATATAATTTCCTTGTTCGAAAAATCTAAACATGCCTCACATTCCGATATAAAACCAGAACGATAAGTACAGTGAACCAATACTACAAATCCTAAAATACACTTTTCCGTTTCTCTTTTGATTTCTTATTTTTGTGAGCTTTCCTCTGTCTCACCTTACGTCGAAAGATTTTGTGCAGGAATGGATTCGGTCTGAATTTTTCACGACCGGTAACGATCGGTCTACCGATCTCGTCTCTGGTATTAGGTACGACTACTAGTTCATTGTGAATGTGCATAAGTGTTGTACATTTTAGAACGAAGAGCGAATAAAATTCTCTTTTACCTTCGATGTATCTTCATCTTCATCATCACTACTAGTATCTTCATTATCATTAGTTGGTGCAGTAGCAAGATCAATTGATGGACCAAAATCATCATCATCATCACCATCATTTATATTGTTATTATTTGTTGAACTTTGTATTTTTTTCGAAGCTTCATCAGCTTTTATTTTCATTTCAGTGATACGTAATTCATTTTCTTCTTTAGTTTTTTCAATTTCATTTGTCCAATCAATGTTTGATCGTTCTTGTGCACCTAATCGTGCTTGATTCATCATTGCTTGTAAATCAAATGTACGTGCAGCTTTTTTAACTGGTACTGATGGCTCAGCCATGATTTTCTTCTTTATTAAAATCTAGAAAAAAAAAGACAAGCACAAAGAAAGAAGAAAACAAATAATTTTTAATGGTTTTACTTCTTTTTTCCAAACTACAAATGACAGAAACAAAATGTAGAAACAAAATGAACATCATGACAAGATAATAAAAGAACAAAAAAAAAAAAGGACCGGGCGTAATCAAAACAAGACGAGATTTGAATACATATACAAAAATCCAAATGATTATATATATATACATTTTTATTAAGATTCTTTTTTCGAAATATCCTGATTGATTTTAAGTTGTCGTGTTCCAGACTCAAATTCTTGCATGTTCTCTTCAAAGTACGGATCATCATCAAATAACTCATCCATATCAAGTTCAAGATCAAGTTCATCATCTTCACCAATCGAAGGAATTTCCATCTAAAATAATTGTTTATTTTTTGATCAATAAAGAGTTGTTTTCTTTTTTTAAATGATTTTTTAATTACTTGTTGTCGAGAATTTTGAATATTATTTGCATCTCCCATACTTGTACTTGCCATTAAAGGAGGTGATAAAGTTGATGATGATGATGCTGGTGTCGTTGGTGATGAAGAATTCAGTGTTGTCATTGACGAACCACTTGTTTTATTTAGAAATCTTACTGTTGGTGTTCGTATTGAATGAGATTGAGATTGATGACCTGTTAAACGTGATGTTAGACGAACAACAGGTGCTTTTATTTGATTATGATTTGTCGATTTTAGACGTTTATTTGAATGTGAACTAGTTGTAGATGATGATAATGAACGTTTTTGATTCTAAAATAAAATTTGTTTTCTTTTTCGTTTGATAATAATATTAAACTCTAACATATAATAAAGTTGCTTTGATTATAGACATAGAAAACAAAAAAAGATTTTAGCAAAATGTCTTATATATAACACGAGGAAAAATAACTCGGAAGTGTGTCAATCAACGAAGTGATATCTATGTGATCAATACTAGATTTAAAAACTTCTTCTACAAATTCAGATTCTTGATCTTTTTCTATTATTATAAATGGGTTAAACCGCAGATGAAATAAATAAATCATGTGATTCTATGAGAAACTATTAACTCTTGTTCCGAGTAAAATCTCTCATTAATTCTTCGTAATGAAAGAATCATTTCCTCCATTTCTGGAATTGTAAGAGATAAAACTGGCACCCTACTCGCCATCTTTTTCAGCCACAATACGTCTCATAGAGCTGAAAATAATTTTACAAACACTGCACGCTATTTGGATATATCATTTTTCCGGTTTCCTTGTATTTGAATAAGAACAGCAATACCATTGAAAAGGTCTTTTTTCAACCCAGTTACAAACTAGCAGTACATCATACTATGAAACAAAAAGAAAAAACAAAGGAAGCAGTCTAAACACTTTTCAGTATTAGCAGACAAAAATGTTTCAGTTTGATCGGTTGAAAAACTTCGAGACGTAAAAGAAGGGAATCTTCTTAACCTTTGAAAATATCATTTTACAAACAATAATTGAGGAGAATCTTTTAGATTGATTATTAAATTTCGAATTAAACATATCGAGTGTCCAAGAAGTCATCTACCAAAGATGAAACTATCCATCTCTACTGTAGTTAAAGGAAGTCCAGTAGCTTTTTTGTGGTAATAGAGAAGATTTCTAAGTTTTTCTTCATAATGTTAAAGTTCATAAATATTCCTGAAAACTATAACTTTTGGATCTAACACATTAGAAAATCCCTTTTTTTTTTCGCGAGTTTCGAAAAACAAAGGGCAGGATCTCCTACTGAATTGCTTCAATGTTTTTCGTTATTGTGGACTTTTCGTCATCCAAATATCACTCTCGTACTTCATAAATATTCACAAGACACTTTTTTTAAAAATTAGAGTCATTAACCGGAAGTTCAATGACTGTAGAAACTGAAATTGTTCCAATTTCATCAAAATTTTTGATGAACTAGCAAATAGAGATATGCAGAGTTACTAGAGATGAACACGGGACCAAAAATAATTTTCTGATCCCGGTAAAAGATTTACGCAGTTTTATCAACTTCATTGTTAAAATACTGTTTGACTGCGCATTTTCTACAGAAATGTTTGCTCATTCAATCTATATATTTCATATCACAGGTCTTCTTTATAAATTAATGTGGCAAATATAATGACCAGGATCAGGCTGGTCCCGATCGTTGTTTAGCTAAATTAATTGATAACGAAGACTTGTGATATATTTTGAAATACATAGACTGAAAGATCAAACATTTCTGTATTAATAATGAAATTGGTGCAACAGCATGTAAATCTTTTACTGGGACAGAATTTTATTTTTGGTCACGTGCATATCTCTAAAAGTTACTCTACCTTATAGGATAGGGTAGAGTAGGATTAAAAAAAGTTTTCATAGTCAAGATACAGGATACAGGAAAAGCTTACCCTGCATATCTTTACTAGGAATGGATTTCTTTGAAGAAACGTACCAATCACTTTAGATTTTCTAAAAAATGTTATGGAAATATTTATGAAGTAAGATAAGAATACCTGGACGATGTAAAGTCCAGAATAACGAAAAATATTGAAGCTATTCAGCAGAAGACTCTGCCTTTTGTTTTTCGAAACTTGCAAAGAAAAGGATTTTCTTTTATATATTGAATCTGAAAGTCTTCTCTATTACAACAGAAAAAAGATCACTTGATTTGTTTGAATCCTAATGAAGATGTATAGTTTTATTACTGTTAGGTGAATTTTCAGGTATCCTACAGATCTTTAAAACGAAATAGAATCTCTCTTGTATTTTTTACATAATAAAATTTTACCAAATCTGATGAATTTAGATGATGTTGTTGTGGTTTTTGACTAGTTGATAATTTTTGTCGAGTTTCATTTGCTATGATAAGAAAAAAAAAGAATATAATGAAGTTATAAAAATATTTATTTTGTTCTTTTTTTTAATTTTAATATATTGAAACATACATGTAGATGATCGTTCTTTTCCATGAATTAATTTTTTCATTTGTTCATTTCTTGTTCTCATATAAATTTTCATTTTATCTAATTTTTGTTTTAATTTTCCTGATAAAATATTAATTTGTTTATTTTCATCAAAATTTTTTTCATTCATAAATTGTTTTCGTTCATCTTCTAAACCTTTTATTTCAATTTTTGTTGTTATAAAATCAATTTGTAAATTAATTCGACGTTCATGTTTTTTTAATCCATCTAATTGTTGTTTTAATTTAACACGTTCATATTTAAAAGATTTTTTATTTTTATCTAATTGTATATTTTCTGTTAAATATTTTTCACAATTTTCAATTTGTTGTATAATATCAAGAATTTTTTTTGATGTTGTTTGTGTTTCTTTTTGTAAAAGTATAAGTACAGATGATGGATCACGATGATCATATATAACGGGATATGGAAGTTTTATTGTTGATTCTTTACGATTATTAAATGATAATTCTTTTGTTTCAAAACAATCTTTATTTGATGAATATAATTCATCTACATCTATATTTGACGATGAACATAAATCTTTAGTTGTAGAAGTATTTTCAATTTGAAGAGAATCCGATGACATTCTATAACAGAAATATTTGTAATGTAATCAGTAGCTTTTGGGATTTTTCTATAAATCCCATTACACATCATATTTTCGAACGGAAAGTATTAAAGGCTGATAAGGAAACGTTGTCAATTAATAAATTATTTTTTGAATTCGGACTTCATGTATAAGGTAGACTCTCGTGAGATATGAAAAATCTCAAAAAGGATAAAGATAAAGCATTTTAGCCTCTGGCTTGGTTTATACGAACAAATGGAATGAAGGCGTTTCGACCTAAGATTTTGCCTACAGACAGGTCTGTTTGTCAGTATAATACTCTGGAAATGTCAGCTCAAAAGAATGTTTTCTTCCCGAGATATTAAAGGCGCAAAAAACTGAAAATTCTATCATCTTTCGTGGAATATGAGTGATTTTTTTCAGACTTTAATATTTTGGAAAGAAAACATTCTTTTGAGCTCAAATTTTCAGAACATTCTACTAACAAATAGATCTGTCTGTGGATAAAATATCAGGTCGAAATACCCTCATTCAATTTGTTCATATATACCAAGTCAAAGGGCTAAAGTGTCTTTAACTTCGGATAGAAGGTCTAAGGAGATTTATTTTTTTGAGATTTTTCATATGTCACTAGAGTCTTAATTCAAAAGCAATTTATCAGTTGAAAACGTTCCTTCGTTGAAAATTACTTTAAAATAACTGATATATTGTCTTCTCATTAAGAATGTCTGTCGATGAGAGAGATGTCCATTGCGGCTGAAAACCTGCCGCTATCGTCTCAGGATGTTTCATCTGTAATTAATGAAATCCTATCAAATTCATGCAGTTTTTCAATATCCTCGAAAAAAAATGCTGCCGCTGCCGCTGCCGCGCTGTCATGAACATCACTGGTTGATGAGCAAATGCTAGTTTTTAATAAGATAGATCTTCTTCACGATGACTTTGATCCATTCATTTGAAAATTTCCATGAGACGACAAGTCAGTTCTGAAATTGTTGAGTTCGCAAAACTGAATCAAGTCGAGTTAGCGCTACGACATGATCTTACGATCTCAAAGTGTGTTAATTACTACGATCTTGAATATGTATCACGAAAAAAAAAACTTTGTAAGCGTATATTTCCACTGAATACATTTTTCATAAGAGAAAGATAATGTATAATTTCAACAAATATGAACCCATGGGAGTGTGTTGATGCTTGTGATTAGGATTTATTGTTGGAAGCATACATCTTAAATATCATAAAGAATAATAACATTTCATAGAAGGCAATTACACTTTCGTCTAGAAATGTATTTTGTTTTGAAAGTGATTAATCAAAAACAAAATTAAACAAACATTTTGTCTCAAAACTTTCGACCTACTCGTTATTTTTTCCATAATTTTTTTTCTCTAATACGCATTCATACATAAATAATCTATGTCTCGAATTTATTTTTTTTAAGATATGTTCTGAAGACACAAAGAATTGTATAAGATCTATGACTTACTAAAATTAATTCAAAATTTGTTATTCTATAGATTTATAAACTAAAACATAAAAAAAAATAGAATCTTAATTTATAATAAAAATTTCATTATGACTACTTACTTAATTTACTGTAGAAATGAAATCATAAAATAAAACCATTACGGCTGATATACATCTAGAAAAAAAATAGATGATTTAAGAATCTTTAAAAAAACAAATTCTTATTTAGAAAAACATTTCATTTTACTTATTGAAATTTTTATTCGGTTATTTTTAATACAATTTCAAAAAGCAAAAAAATTAATTTTTATAATATATATATATACACATATGCCTTGACTATTATTTGATATTAATAATAACTAATCAAATATGAATAGATGTCAGTTTAGTTTTAATCAACAACAAAAAAACAAAAAATTTAATATTATAAATTTTAAAAAGAAAAAAAAATAATAGAAAAAAATTTTTTTACTTTTAAATAATTTTCTATTTATTCTTTGTTCATGACGAATAACCAATAGAAACATACAATTATTAGTTTATTTATTCTATTCATTTTATTTCGTCATTCATATATTTCTTCAATTAGGAAAATATTGTGCTTGCATATATACATCAATATGTCAGCTATTCAAGAACGACCAGCTAAACGTCAACGTACAATTAAAACAGGTCATGATTTAGATACAGTTGATTTTGAAACAAGTGAAGATGTTGAAGTATGTCCAACATTTGATGCAATGAATTTAAATGAAAATCTTCTTCGTGGTATTTATTCATATGGTTTTGAAAAACCATCAGCTATTCAACAACGTAGTATACGCCCAATTGTTAAAGGACGTGATGTTATTGCACAAGCACAATCTGGTACAGGTAAAACAGCAACATTTTCAATTGCTATGTTACAAAAATTAGATACAAATATACGTGAAACACAAGCATTAGTTTTATCACCAACACGTGAATTAGCACAACAAATTCAAAAAGTTGTTTTAGCTATAGGTGATTTTATGAGTGTACAATGTCATGCTTGTATTGGTGGAACAAGTACAGGTGAAGATATGCGTAAACTTGATTATGGACAACATATCGTTAGTGGTACACCAGGAAGAGTTATTGATATGATTAATCGAAGATCTTTACGTATGTATTAGATTTTTTCACTTCCTATTATAAATATCTTTACAATAGTAAAAAAATCAATATCGTCATAATAATTCAATGAATCGGGAACATTTTTTTTCCATTGATAGTGAAGACATGAGAGTTTTTTTTTCATAAGAAAACTGTCAATAGATGATTCTTGATCGTCCCTGTTCAGTTAAGGAGGGAGAGCCATTCCCTCAGACAAAGTTAATTTTGTGATTTATAGCTCATTACATAGAACAAAGTGTCTACTCTCGAATGCGCTATAGCTGATTGATTTTATGATGAGCTTTAAGGATATTATATAGATTTTTCTGAACCTTCATATTGAAAAAAAATAAGATTTTTTAAAAGCTTATTTTCCGTTTTTTCAAGTATACTGTTTGGATGGACAAACCTTACTCAATATAGAAGTGACAATTTTTTTCTATTGCATAAAGGACAGTGAGAGCTAGATCCTAACAGAGTCCGATTTTTGAATTTCTCTATTGGTAAAATAAAAAAAAACTTATATATGTCATTTTTATTAGCGATTTTTGTGGCCATGAATCCGAGAATTGTTCGAAAACGATTTTTTAAAAATAAACAAAGGGAGTTTTAAAAATTGGGCTCCGTAAGGATCTAGTCCTAAGGATATTCTGTAACTTAAAAATCGCTCCGGTATGTTAGCTCATATTCTAATTGTGAAAACCTTGCCCACGTACAGGGTGCTTTTGATCAATAAATTGACTATAGCTCGTGACTATCTCGCAGATTTGGTAAGATATTTTAACTATAATCTACTCTAGCCAAGACTAAAATTCTTTGAAATTTTGGGTGAATTCCATGCAAAAAATAAAAAAGTTTGTTTGTGATGGGAGAGCTCCCTTTAAGATCATCAGCCATACCGACGAACCTCTTCAGTTGACTGTTTCTGATTTCAATGATCGTTTTTTTTTTGCCTATAAATACTACATAGTGGTCTAATGAAAATCCTAAAAGGATTTAAGTTCCTATTGAGATTTGCCTAAGCTATCGAATTTGTTAATATGTCTATTTTCTGGAGATCCCAAGTTTTCAGAAAATTCGATCGGTTAGTCAAACTTCAATAGGACCCAAAATCATTGAAATCGAAAGGGCGGACAGCTAAAGAGGTTTTCTCGTTAGTTGAAGTCTTCTATGAATATGCCTACAGCTAATTTGTATACGTAATATAACTTTAAGATTGAACAGTACGTAGAAAAATGTGATTTAAATCATCATATCCAGATAATTTCGAACAGAGAACACGATTGTCATAGTCTCTCGTTTCTGCATACGACGGAGGTGTTTAAGTGGTCGAAGACGTTCACAAGAAAAATGATATACTCACTTTCTGTGAGGACTTTTAGAAGGAAAGAATCTAAATAGTGATTTGAGAGGAAAAAATTGTTTTCGAAAAGAAAATAAAAATGATTAATCAGATTCTCAAAGATAGGAACTTCAAAAAACCAAAACTCTAAATTTTTTCAGCATCTAGAACTCTACAATGTTTCTTAGCTGACATGCAGCAATTTTATGAAGCCCATTAGAATCGGTTTTTTTTACTATTTCCGATGGAAAAGTCGGAAACGTCTCATTTTGTAGAGGATGGTTTACTCTAGCATTCTAGGTGCCAAAAAACTACGATTTAGGTTTTTCGAAGTCATTATCTTTGAAAATAAACTTTGTTGAATAATTTTCGTATCCACCGTATATACTCTGATGTTTTATAAGGAAATAACGCTTAGGTTTATTGTAAATTTCAAGATTGATCTTTAGTGATAATCATGCTATAGAATGTTTGAGAATAATTGAAATCGTAACTAATTCTATAAATATACTTATTATTTTAATAAAAATTCTCAGCAAAACAAAATAAATATTGTAACATTGATGATTGCGTTTGTTACCAGAGTTCATCCGGACTCGAATGCTATTTGGTTATACATTGCTGATCAAAAATATAAGATCAACGTTTTTTTTTTTTACTACGATACCAAGCATTTAACTCAAATCAAAATTATGATTGCAATTGTCAACAAAGTTCTCGATCGCGAATGCATTCTACCTCAAAATTTTATAGATATAGTATCATCTTAATGAGTCCAAAATTCTGAATGAAAAGAGAAGTTGTCGTATTCCCTATGATTTTCTTTTGAAAAAGTTATCAACATTACAAAACAAAACTTATCATGCAGAAGAAAATAATACATTTGTATCTCTTTACAGTCCAGGAAACTTAATTTTTGTACACATTGCCCTTAGAAGCAATGTGTTCATATACATGTTGTTTTATTATTTTAAAAAAAAACCTAGTCACGATCATGGTCACACGTGATCATAACGGTCATGCAGTTCATTACGTTTATTGTATGTTAATTAGTTTTTCATAAAACTTC